ATAAATATCAGCTTTCACACCATTTTAGGTAAAGTGAACTATGAAAAAATGTGACAATTAATTAAATTCCATCCAAACACACGTAACATTAATTATATATGAACATAAATGAATAATTAAATAACAAACTATTGTTGGCGCCATTACAAATGATAACATAGACACATTCCGCATACCAGCGTGTTTGTCACATGTAACAGGTTTTTCGATCATCTCAAGCAGACAAAGGAATTTTACATTCTGCCACATTCGGCGATAATACTCGTTAGTCTTTTTACATCAAAATAAAAGGTTTATTTCCCTGGCCGAGATGAAGGCGTCCGTCAAATTTTAAAAAGTTAATTATCGGATACTTTTACCATTTCGTGTGGCTCGCTCGGCGATACATCATACGGAGGAATATAAATCACCAGTTGATTGATAGTGGTATACATCTCACGCTCGTTCGCTAGCTCCTTTTTTAATCCGACACAAATGATTTTACACTTTGATTCCTTTTTGTGACGCCATTTCGCTCCGGACTTTACGATTTGTTCGAAATGGATTTTGTACACCTGAATTTGTTGGGACTTGGCCACCTTTTTATGTTAAAAGATCCTTTTGATCATGTTGAATGGGTTAGATTTAATAAAAGTTTAGTGGAAGTGTGCCGTCGAAATCAGTCTCACTGTAAATGAAATTTTAATATTGTTGAAAATTTTGATGTGTCGGGGATTCTACAGACAATGTCTGATTTTGTCGTCCAATCAATTGTGGAATTTGTACCATGAACTTTACTCCCACGTCATCATGCGTACTTCAAGCTGACTCTTTGAATGATGTCTAAAAGAGTTTTTTATAAGGAAAAGTGCACGAGCCACAAGCATAAAGACTATGTTACTTAAGTACCTATCTATTTTAAGGGCACAATAACTCGATGAAATCTCCTTTCATCGCAATGTGAAATTTAATATTCACTACCGTACACTGTAAAGCCAATGTTTATAGTGAAAACCTATCAAGTTTCTAACAACTATTGAGCGGGCGACCCGTCCGTACCTGCGTACAAAAATGTCTACTATAAGAGATTTGCGTGGCGTTTTCTATTGTAGTTGTACCCTGATTCTCATGCAAATGCGTGATAAAACGTGCGGAAATATAATTAGCTTAGCCGGTATCGAAGGGTCGAGCACCTTGCCAAAAACTGGTTTATGTTTCGCCTTTTAATTAATGTTTTGCCTGTTGTTGTAACTTCTGACCAGTGTTCAGGGCTAGGGGTGTTTTCGCGACGTTCCGTGGGAAAGCGTGCTTTACGATTGTATCTTTATGTTGGTTGGTAAGAGTATGTTTTTCCGAGAAAGAGGCCATTACACGCAGCCCGAGAGCGTCGTAAGACATGTCACAGTTATTATGCTCACTAGAAGAGATATAATCTTTCGGCTATGACGCACACAGAGGCGGTGTGTGTGTGCTGAGTTATTCTCGTCGTCCAAAGCGTTTGTACTGATTGTTGACACGATTAAGTTGTATCAATCTGTGGATAAACCCGTATAGAACGCTATTTGTGAGTGCTGTATGCTATTACGTTTGGATTTCATTATTAAAATTTCATCCTATACCGAAATAGCTTGCTCTAAAATATAAACTTAAATCTTTTCACGTTCTATTAATAGCTTACACGCCAAAACTAATACAAATCCGTTCCAGTTCAACCCATAATCTTGTTCCATAAATCATAACCGCAATCAATTAGTGGCAAAAACGTTACGATTCTCACGGTACGATGTTTGCGAACTAGGCCCGTAGACCAAACAAACCCTTACGGTCAGTTGGTCGACAAAGACCAGGTGTCCGAAAAATTAACACCCTCGAAGACTTTACGTCTTTGTGACGAAGAGGCGTGTTTAAGGCGTAAGGGACAAATATTGCAACTATTTTGCCCCTTTGCAATCCTGGGAACATAAAGATGATATTTTTGACATGCACAGCACAATGCATATTGTGCATGGTCACCGATTATTTGTGCATGAAGTCATTTGTGACGATATCGAACGCGAAAACTTAAGGAAGCTTAAAACTTTTGTTGCTCAGTGAACTGATGTTTATAAGGCAACAAAATTAGATAATGGAACATGTTTACGACTACAGTTATGGATGAGAGCTAGCTTCTCAGTAACGGACTCAAAAGAAATCTTGGGTCCAATTGAAACATTTTAATAAAAACAAACTTCAGCCATTTCAACAACATTGATCTAAAAACGATCCGTCAACTCCCAAACCGTTCGAACCTCGCAAATTAATTAAAATTTATTCCAAAATATCGCTCACCGTTTCCAAAAACAACACGGAAGATACTTCTCAATCTACCCGCAAAAATCGCCCATTAAAATTCAGGCCCGGGGGACCCGGAATCTTTCTAAATGGCCGGCCTAACACAAAAACTTATTAAGATACTGCAAACAATGAGAGGTGATTGATGCGCCCTGAACAAAAGGTGCTCAGCCATTGTTCCAGTGACGAGCATACCCGAGCGAGACACGTACACCTTTCATGCACTTTTAATAAACCGGTCCACTAATGCGTTTAATTAATCAATCCATATGTGAGCTTTGTTTCATATTTGCATTTGCATAGCATCATAACTGTACAGAAATTATGGACTATTTATGTCCCATTCTGCAGTGATAGATTAATGTCCCAACAAGGATTAATGACTGAAATTGAATGGACTGAAACTAATAATATTCAACCGTTAGAACCATAAGCGTTGGTCATTAGGACTATAAGGCTTTCTCATGTTTTACGATCGGGAGAAAGTGGAAAAGCAAAATCTGAATAACCATTGAAAGGAATAAAACAACAATAAAGCATCGCTTGTTATTTAAACGCAAACAAATAATCGTCCAGTGGACAAAAGCAAAACTGACCAATCATTACAACGGTTACATAAACCAAAAGAGCGGAGAACCCACAAAAAACGTATCTCTTACATCGAGTTCTATCACAATTAAACGCATTAGGTAGTAGCTTCATCCTCAGTGGACCTTTTCAAAGCTAAAACGTTTTACAAAACATGCACCAACTGTGAAACAATATTATAAAAAACGTACAAAGGATCTTCTCTAATCTCCGCATCTACCAGTTTGATATCTAAGACGATTACAAAGCGACAAAAGGGGCACACTTACTTTTTTTTCTATTAACAGTTAATCTCATATAAAAAGGAGACTGGAGTTCGCACCTTTCTTTTGTTCTGAGGGCAAACAAATCGTTTGTTGCCCAAAATATGACGGGGTCGAGAGATGTAATGTTGTGCTCAAGGGTTGAATGAGAGCAGCGGGTTACCGTGTCCTTTCCGGTACGATCTGGCCTCTGTATTATCAAAGGGAGCAGCCCTAATGACCCAAAGGTGGGACTCGTAAAAAGTTTTGTAGCAATCGCAGATACAGAGAAGGCTAATGAAGCGGAGGTTCTTATTTGGTAGGTAGTAAATGTTATAGATGGCAATATAGAAGTCCATATATAAAAGGCAGGTGTCGTTAAAGCTGCCAATACAGTTTGCAAAGAAAAAATAAATTTGGAGAACAAAAATAATAATTTTAATATGAGAGGTCGTCAAACGGGTGCCATTGGGTTCTATATGGGTATAATAAGCGCCTCAGCGGGTGTTCCGTCCACGTTATGAACTCTTCAACCTCGGTGCCCTCCGTCAAGACCGTTTCCTTTATGACATGAGGAAATTACTTCGGTCGCGTGTTATCTTTTAAAATGTGCACCTGTGCCGTTTAGACTTTTGGGTAAATAATTTTCGCTGCACGACCAAAAATATTGGACTTGATATATATGTATTTTGAATAGACAGACAGTTTTGGGTAATTTGATACGTGGACTACAAATGATTGGGCAGTAAATTGAGAAATTAAAATACTCAGCTTCCCTACTTGTTCTGTTCATTATTGTTCGTTACAAAGGAACGTTATGAGTTAATGTACCGCATACAATGTTGTATTGAATAGGCTGTTGAAGCCAATAGTACCGCACGTCATAAAGCTGACGGTCCGTCAAGGTTTTCCCAGTTGAAAACGGCCTTGACCACACAGAAAACTATTAACATGACGCACTTAAGTAAACAAAAGCGAAAAAAGTATTTTTCCATCAACCATCAAACTCAAAAATCATTAGCTAGTTTTCCATTACAGAAACTCTTCTCTACTTCTTCAAACGTTTGAGGTCACACGAATTCTTGAATACCATCAATCACGGTGCTGTCTTTAAAACAATAACCAGCCATATTAATTCCATCGTAATAATAACCTATTACGGCCTATAACTTTATATTAGCATTGATCGTCAACAGTTACTTAGAGCAGTGCCCTTGGGCAGTCTCTTGACTAATGACTCGACAAGATTAATGATTTCACTAATTACACTTGCGACAATCAATGTATCTTTAAAGCGAGCTTTTTGTACTAAGAACGCAGTTCATTCTAATATTACTGATGTGTTATATAATCTGTCAGTAGCAACCGATAATTTTGTTATAATTTTAACAGGACCTAAGGTCACAATTCAATCAAAATTATTTAGAATAGTAATTAAATGTGGAGCTATACAATTTAAATTAAATAACAAAGCATAAAAAAAAAATAGGACTAAACAAATTGAAATGTGTAACCAAAAATAAATCACCAAAAGAAACGTTCAAAGAATTTGGTGTGAGAACATCCATGAATAGATCAACAAATGAAAGCAAAAACAAATCTGACACATTTATAATAAATGATATCTTATCACCTAATACTTACATACTGACAAAAAGTACCGGTGAACAAAAGAAAATTTCAGTTTAAAACGCGTATGAAATGTCTCAATATAGGCATGAATGTTAGTTGCTCTTCTATCTACGTTGCCAATTTTGTTAGTATGTATTTCTTTATAATTTTGATCATTAAAAACAATTCCATATTCATGCTGTTTCATTTACACTCAAAAGAGTTGTTTTCAAAATATTTTTGACTCACCTTCTCTCCTCATGCCCATTTTGAGACATTTTCTTAGTCTGCAGTACTGGCATTGGTTTCTATGATGTTGGTCGATTGGACAGTTTCTATTTCCTCGGCAGGAGTAGGTCAGGTTCCTTCTCACGGACCTCTTGAAAAAGGATTTGCAACCTGCGGGAGAGATTTTACATTTGTAATAATATTTATATTATCAACACCTGAATCATCATCGAGTTATGCTAATTTATCGTCGTCTACGATAATTTTAAAAGGTTTTAATAACTTGCTTCTGACTTGAATTGCTATTTATGATATAATCACTTCATAAATTTGTATTTGATACGACAGCGTGTTTAAAATTCGGAAGTTTCTTCGTATATCATCATCAGCGTGTAAAATATGCGTTTCTGTCAACATGAGTCCATGTTTGTGGCCGTATGCAAACATGGGGATATCCCAATAACTTAGAATACTTTACGATTGTCGGTAGTAATTACTTGTTCACCTATTTTGTTAAAATGCTTAGACCAATTAGCATATTACAATATATCAATGGCTACTCGATATCGAAATACGACGATTCGTATGGAAGCGTCGAATATATATGAATTTATAAAACAGTTAAAATACCAGCATAACGATCTTAAGACAGTTAAGACCAATCTCATGAATATATTATGCGTAAATATTAGAATAAGAAACAATTTGCTTTGAGAAGCGCTACGTGGCGTCTTTACTCGAATTACAATGACGTACGGAGGATTTTTGAAGTTGATAAGGTTGATTATCGTTTGATGTGTGGTAGGATTGTACATGTAGTTTGGCGTTTAAGAAAAGAAATCGTATTTTGAATGTAAAAACTTAAATCACCGGCTCGGAGTGAAATATTTAGAGAAATATCTTGTTTGTGACGTGAACGTGATCATTTATGGAATATCGTGTATACTATATCAATGCTTATGAAGCCGTGTTTCGATCATTAAGTATTAGGGAGCCATTTTCTTGGAACTTATAAGGTTATGACCAATTGTGAACGCTTCTTTGGTCTTTAAAGAAGCTATTCGTTTCTGTCAGTATTTTAAACATCCTATACGTATGCAACAACATCTTTATTTATGTACAACGCTTTTTTAAGAAACAAACTGTACAAAATGCATGAATTTTTGTATTAATGTAAAACGCACTTTTAAAAAATTTGACTTCATAATCTCTGATTTTGCCTACTGGTCCCCAAGCGAACACCGGTGTCCTTTCTGATCCACTTTATTGTAGACTATCTATAATTCCGATACAGATTAAATTAAATAATATATGAACTAGTTTAATTCATCAAATACCCCAAGCGAACGCCGGCGTTCGCGCACCTTTTATGTATCGAATTACCACGATTAAAAGATTAAAAAAATACTGATTTTGACATGATTTTATTGATTTGATCGTGATGACGAATGGCGTAAACAAGTTAGGTATACCTAATATTGTTGTAATATCAAGTTTCTAATTACAAATATACTGGCTTGTAGCTAAATAAGTTCCTTGCCGAAACGTAGTAATTTTCTCACAGTATATCTAGGAAATAAACTAATCGAGTCTGTTTTCATTTTACAGATAAGTGTAGATAAAATGTCTATGATATTTGAATGTTGCCATATAATACAGAAATGATTAGATGTTTACATAACTCCTTGGAAATATACACCAGTTTAATAACTGTTAATAAACATGTTTAATAGCCAAAGAACATGCAACTTCTGGTTTTCAAAAAAGCACTCGCTTTAGCATGTACTAGAAGAAATTTGTAATCTTATTTTATTAAATATGTACCTAGTATGTATAGGTAATTTTTTAAAATCAATATTTTGTTTGCAATTTAGGCATTGTTAGTTTTTGCGTGTGCATTTTTTTTTATTTTAAAAACAGGTGACTTGTGCGTACTTAAGCGTAGTCGTCATAAATAAAACCACAGTTTTAATATCCATATCTATAAAAAAATCATATATAATCTTTCAATTTTAATATAATCATTAATAAAATGATAATTGACAATAAATAAAATGCAATTCTATCAACACGTTAAAATTATCGTTGTTTCAAGTTACATTGGGAAGCCATTTTGTTTTATTCGAAAGTCGAATGCTCAGAAAGAAGATCCGTCTACAAATTGTATGCAGAAACCGATCGATTACTAACCGATATTCAATTACAATCGAATCGATTCGATTTGACTTCCGAAGAAGATCTTTTTATATTTCATGGGTATACATACTTATTTTTATAGATATATATTTATAGGTTTTTTGAGTAATATTGTATCGCTAGCTAACTAGAAGAAATTGTTTGAGTACCTAGCGGGTGCCCATGGGCCGCGCCGATTGCTTACCATCAGGTAATCCGTTCGATCGTTTGCCGACTTATACCATAAAAAAATGGTGATGAGTCGGAAATGCTGCCTAGTACTTATATAATAATAGATTCAATACTCGACTTTGAGAAAAATATATATGATCTCCTAGGCTTATAATATAGCGACAGGTATTGTTATCAAACTAGGTAATATTATAAACGCTAAATTTTTTAAGTATGTTTGGATAAATTTTTGTTACTCTTTTATCTAAAAACTACTGAAGAGATTTTGATGAAAATTGGCCCAGAGACAGATTGATATCGTCAAAATAACATAAGCTACTTTTCATTTTAATATCGAGAGCGAAACCGCTGGCAGAAGCTTGGATAAAAAATACAGAGCTAAGAAATATAAATACATTTTTTTTTAATATAAAGACTACCTATATATGTATATATATAATGTACTTGTGTAAGTATTTACCGAGTTTACATAAAGTAAGTATTGTCACAAGGCTTTTGTTGTTCTGTTTGAATGAGTAATGAGGAAATAGTGTTTCGAAACTGAATGTATAATGCTTTACGCGTATCGAGTAAACGGTAGCCTATGTACATACATTGTACATACCTATGTTTATGTAAAATATTTCGTGAAGAATTGTTTTTTTTTTATTCATATAGTAGGTATAGCGTGGAAAGTTTTTGTATTAAGACAACGGTACTATTTTAAATTTCGAATAGAGAATCATCGAAGTAAACTTTTTTAAATATTTACATGTTCTTTATTCGAATCCCTAATTTTCTTTTACCCTTGAATTAGACATGACAATTCATAACCGGCTATTACAATTCCAATGTACCTACACATTAAAAAAAAGAAAAGTAACATTTAAAACATGTGCATATCGGTATTTATTGTTAAAAATTCTTAGGTAGTCGCTTCGTCTTTTAAAAATAAGTAAGCAACTGAAAATTCAGTGTTTAGGCAACAAAGCTGGCAGGCGAGGTTTCTTGCTAGTTGCGATACCGTTAGAGGTTTGCTCACGTACCCAATGTGCAGATAAGCCGTTGTGCGGTTACCATAGGCTGGCCACACGTGGATGAGCACTCGTTACTAAATAGTTTAAAATTTAAAAAGAGAACGTATTCTTTTTTAAATTTTGATTTGATATTAATAAGCTTAAAAGTACGGGATGATGTCAAATTTTGTCCTTGACAATGATAACAGTAATTTAGAATAACACCCCCATTCCTATTACCTTTCGTTTATGCCGAATCAATATTGATACAGCAATTTAGGCGTATAACATAACACTAACAATAGACATATATGAACATGATTCTGGACTACCACACAAGCCATCTACAATTTGAAACGAGCAAATAGCTTCATTTGAAGACTGAACGATAGACAGATAATTTAATAATTGTCCATTATAGTCTAAATTATTTGATTATCAACTTTAACTTTCAGCGTTTGAACCGCAGCGTTTCCCTGCCCAGCGTACGGCCGACCGTCTCAGGAACCCTGCCTCCCAATTACCACTTATCGTTGGGAACATCACTGCTTGCAAATTGTATTCCACGAGAGATGATAAAAAGTGCATCGACACAAGAATTTTCATTGAAAATAAAAACAATGGTAATGGTACTTATTTAGTTAAGTTCTTTGACATAAATCTGGATTGTCGACGAGAAAGTGGAAGAGCTGTGATAGTGGATCGCCGGGTAAGTATTTCACATAGCTGGAGTTTATTTTACTGGAGGAATTTATTGAATTTACTTTTGCAACTGATATCAGGTGCACAGATAGGAAAGGAAGCGAGTACCTACGATACATTAAGACATCTTTTTACTTACATTTTAGACTGGATGGCAATTTCTTTGGGGAAATAAAATCCTATGTGCTGTCTTAGACTTAGTCGGTTCTAGGAGGATAGTAATCTAAAAAAATTATTAGCTTGTCACATTTGATGGCTAAGTAAACTTTTGCTCATAAATAAAATCAAATTTGACTTTGGAATAGCAATAAAATTATTAATTCCATGACGTATACCTAATTTGCGATTTTATAAATTTGTCAGACCCAACCAATAATAGAGTCCTAATGGTTTGGTTTGACAGAGTTTTAACAGAGTCCTATGGACTTTTTCTTTTACCTATGTTCGTTTAAAACTAAAAAATGGTGCAGCTAAGTCCCATCCCGGAATTTTTATTATTGTGTCATCTTAACTTAAAAAAATATAATTGATATTTTTTCATTCCTATCGTAGTGAATTTGCATGTTACATACAGAGACTTAAGAACAGTATTTCAAAATGCGATATACATATAGGTTTTATGTATTCACCCGGGATCACGGGTCACGGGCAGCCTCGGCCTGGAGCAGGACAAGAGACGGGGTGGTTCTTAGTCAGTAAAAGTATCCCCCTCGCCTCATCCTGGGCAAGGGAAGTTATTTGATGATATTCCAACCTCAAAAATAAGGTAAAATTTATGTAGATAAAGGCACAATAGATGAATAAACCTACATCGGCAGGCTGATGGAATGTCAACTTGGCAATGACGAACGTACGTTATATTATAAAGAAATAAACGCGTCAAGCTAACTTTGTTATCACTGGGTTCTGTATGTTACACCAATCAATCCAACTGAAATTATAAATGCGAAAGTTTCTGTAAATATGGACGATGAATGTTTGTTACATTTTCACGTGAAAACTAGTGAATGGATCTGAATGAAATTTGGCACAGAGATAGATTATAGTGTGGAATAACACGGGCTTTTTTTACGTGTTGCATGTAGAACTAATTGATTATAATAGACA